ACTCTACTTAATAATGAGGGGGAAAGGAGAAGAGAAGAAAGAGGAGGAGAGACAGAGGGATGGGAGAGAATGAGAAGTAAAGAAGATAGCAAGGAGAGAGATTAGTAGAAGGGCAGGAGGTAAGGTAATACTCTTTGGGGCTTTTCTCTGAAAAGTGAAAACTAAGTTAAGAAAATTAAAGTGAATCTAAAATCTTGAGCATAAACAAAAATAACTACATGATGATAATTGTTGAAAATCTAAGTGAGTGAAGGCTAGAGAAGAAAACCAGGACACATAAAAAAATCAGATACGCCAATGTGGCTAGTAGCTCTGATAAGTATCTTTCACCTGTCGATGTTCATAAATTTGTAATGAAGACTATAAAAATAAAAACATGAACTCTGCATTGATTTTACTCATGAAATCATACATGAGACATTTTAAATTTGCTGACATGAACCTTCAGATCAAAAAGTGAAGATTTAAGGGCCCAAATTCAAATTCCATCAATAACATGTAAGTGGTGCCAGAGGAATTCTTATTCACTTTCTCTTCAATATAAGTAACCACATGAATAAATATGTTTGCAAGCAGATCTACAAGGTTATTTTAAGTGGTAGATATTCTGTGGATATGGATGAGGTAGTAGCATATTTCCTGATGCTGAACTATTTCCCAAAAGGAAGCAGTGGAAAAAGTAGGCTCATGGGTGCATTTAGATAATGGATAGGACTGTTGCAGTAAATATGTGGATGCTTTCATGTTATTCTCCCTCTAATTCTGAGTGTTTTTATATTGCAATAGTGAAATATTTAAAGTACCTTGCTCTTATATTTTTGTATAATTAACAAATATTCTATATAGTTCATGTAAACAATGTGATAATATATTCATTACAACCATTGATAATGAGCATATCTATTACTTCATATAGGTACCTTTCTAAGTTTTGTCTTCTTCATTTCCTTCCTTCCTCATTGACACTAATTATAAGTGGAACTTTTGGAGATTTTTGTTTTCTTTTGTTGGGATTTTTATTATTATTAATGTTTTTATTGTGAAAATATGGTACAAGGGATCACAATTACATGAGCAAGGTAATGAGTACATTTCTTATCAAGCATTGTTGCCTCCTCCTTTGTTTCCCCTTCCCATCCCTGCCCTCCCATCCCCCTCACCCTTTTCATACCCATCTTTTTTTTGGGGGGAGGGGGTCGGGTCGGTCATGAGGCCTGAGCTCTGGACCTGGGCCTTGTCCTTCAGCTCTTCAGCTCAAGGCTAGTACTCTACCACGTGAGCCACAGCTCCACTTCTGGTCTTTTCTGCTTATGTGGTATTAAGGAATCAAACCCAGGGACTCATGCATGCAAGGCAAGCACTCTACCACTGAGCCACCTTCCCAGCCCCTCCCCCGCACCTTTTTCAACATAATATCTTGTACATCTCATTTTTGCGATGGGTCCACATGTATCCCTATTTAAACAATTGGTTTTTTTCCCTTCCCCTCCCTAAATTATACCAACATCAGATACAGTGAAAACAGGGGTTATACCGTGCGGGCGAGACATACAAAGCAACAAAGAAATTATCTTATAAATATGTTAGAAACAATAACAAGAAAGAAAAACCATTTGAGTCCTTATCTTGGGGTTCATTTTGCCTAATATCAGCTTATCTGACCTTTTCTGCTTGTCTCAGACATATACTAGTTATTGCAAATAACAGACACCATGGGACCTATGCTTCTTTGGGCCTGGCTTACTTCAGTTAATATAATTTTTTCCAAGTCTTGGGATTTTTTTTTTGTTCCAATACTGGAGCTTGAATGTAGGGCCTGGGCCCTGTCTCTTAGCTTTTTTTCTCAGGACTGCTGCTCTGTTACTTAAGCCACAATTCTGCTTCTGGTTTTTGGTGGTTAATTAGAGATAAGAGTCTCACTGCTTTCTTGTCCAGCCTAGCTGAACTTTGATCAGATCTCAGCCTCCTGAGTAATGAGGATTACAGACATGAGCTATGATGCCTGGCTTTATTACTGGTCATTTTTTTAAAATCTCCATTCTATGGGGCTGGGAAGTTGGCTCAGTGGTAGAGTGCTTGCCTTGCATGCCTGAGGCCCTGGGTTCGATTCCTCAGCACCACATAAGCAAAAAGAAAAAATCCGGAAGTGGCGCTGTGGCTCAAGTGGTAGAGCACTAGCCTTGAGCTGAAGAATTGAGGGACAGCACCCACGCCCAGAGTTCAGGCCCCACGACTGGACCCAAAAAAAAAAAATCTCCGTTCTAACAAAATGGTGAGACAAAGGACAAAGGGTGAACCAATGCAACAGCGATACTCATAAGACACTATGTTGAAATAAACTTTACAACTTGGATTGGGGGGAGGGAAGTTGCAGTAGGGGAGGGAAAGTGGAGAAAACAAGGGAAGGGGTAACAATGTTCTACAAGAAATGTATTCATTACCTTACTTATGTATCTGTAACCCCTCTGACATCACCCTTATAATAAAAGTAAATTAAATTTTTAAAATATTCGCTAAAGTTTGCCAGGAAAATAAATAAATAAATAAAATCTTAATTCTAATGGGTGAAAGAATATTTTGAAAATATTCAGCAAGCAACTAGTATGACCCCTTGGATGTTTGTTCCTTAGATGTTAGCTCTTGGTCTTGGTGGTGGTAAAAGAGATATGACAAGAATATAACAGTGCCAGGTGCCCATGGTTCACACCTGTAATCCTAGTTACTCAGGAGGCTGAGATCTGTGAATTGTGGTTCAAAGCTAGCCTGGGCAGAAAAGTCCATGAGTCTCTCATTTCCAATAAACTATTCAGAAAAGGCCAGAAGTGGCTCTTGGCTCAAGTGGTACAATGTTAGCCTTGAGCAGAAGCAGCTCAGGAACAGTACCCAAGCCCTGAATTCAAGTCCCAGGACCTACAAAAAAGCAAAAAACAAAAAACGAATATAACAAATTCCAAAAACCTGAACCCTTTGGGAAACCATTCAGTATTACACATTCACAGTGTAATTAGATTCAGCAAGTTTCTGGGCCCTGCAAATTATAGCGCAGCAGGGGAAAAGCAGAGTTGTGCCTCAGGGATACAGATGTATAGAAGGAGCCTCCCCTTTGGTGAAGCCAAAACTCATGGAAGTGACATCTTGACAATAGCAAAGGTTGACTAAAGCATGGATACTTAGAAAAAGATAAAAAGGACCTGGCTGATGCTACTTGATCAGAACATCTCTACCCTGAGCCAGCCACAGCGACTATGCAGGTGAGTGATCCTTACACTGCAGACTAGAGCTGCATTTGACTTTGGAAGGAAAGCTGCTGAAGCAGTGGGGCTCAGGGGCTGCCTGGTTAGAGTGGAATGTCTGAGCTCCTTTGTCACTTAGGGAAGCAGAAGGTGTCAGAACCCAGGGAAAAGACCACCTATTACTTCCCCACTACCACCCACACTCCTCTGTTTCAGTGGTCCATGAGGGACTGTGCAGCAATGCGTATGAGGCATGGTATCCAAAATGGCTCTTTCATCCCAGGACAGGAGGCCACAATAGAATGTCATTCTGGATGTGGGGAAGCACTTATTCTCTGTGTTCTCCCTGAAGCCTTGGTATGCTTTTCCCTCTCAACAGTGAGGGAGTTTGATTGAAGTTTGCATTTATTTCTTATGTCTTTAAGTATTTTCAGAATGGGACATTCTTGTCCTTTTTATTTTGATTTTATTTATTCCATTTTTTTAATTCCTAGAACTAAAATATAACAAAAGCTGTAGCTACAGATAATTTTAGAGGAAAAGAAAAACAGACATCAGGACACTTCCTGTGTTGTTGTAGGGGGTTTTTGGAGGGGAGGGGTGTATTTAATATTACCAGGCACTTACCTAAGCACTACGTATCTCAGCTCATTGAATTCTCCAGTTATACTTGGATACTGCAAAGCATCATTCCATTTATACATGAGAACACTGAGTCTTAGACCAAGTAATATATTCAGAATCATGATTATAGGAATCGGGAAAGGCAAGACTTGAACTTCAGAGTGGCTGTCTGCAAAAGCTTGATCTTGTGACTCTTGAAGTTTATACTTCTCAAGTTTAAGGACAACACTGAAAAAAATCTGGAATTCATATCCACATGCACACCTGCTGTAGAAAACTCTGATATGGCTAGATTCACAGACACCGCATTATTATATTTTATTGGGTAAAGGGAGGAGATGAAAGAGGTTCCCAGGAGAAACTGAGAGTAAGAACAAGAGATGAGGGAAGGAAAACAACAGAGCATCAATCTGATCACACTCATGTGGAAGAATTTTACTGCTTTCCCACTCTACCTATTTAACCTCAAGGCTAGTTAGGACCAAGAGCTATACCCCATTTAATCAAAAACAGGTGAGGTGAGAAGCTATCATTCTTCAATATTCTCAAGTCATTTGAGGAATGAATATATATTGGGTGACAAAAGGAATCTGGAAAGGTTACCAATAAACCCCACTAAAGAGAGAATTTATTATTAGATGTGATAGTGAAAAGGGGAGAAGGTATCTAAACAAATACTTGGGATGGTGGCTTTGAAATTGACAAAATGATGTTGTCTTCTGTTCAGCTTTTGTCTGAGAATAAAATGGTCATGAATTTTAGAGATGAGATATTCAAAAAAGATCTCTTAGCTAGATGTAATGGGCTATGCCTACAAGAGACAAAGGCAGGAGAATGACGAGTTACAAGCCAGACTCAAGTCCAGCCTAGACTACATAGAAAAACTCTATTTCAAAACAGAGTAAATAAATCTCTTAGAAAGGTGGTTGGATGTGTTAGGATTTGTGTCCAACTGTGCTTATTATATCCATACCAGAGGAAGCAACAGAGGAAGAAAAAGGGCAAAGAGTAAGGTACCTGCTAAGCCAAAAACTATATATGTTTAAATATTTCAGAAACTATTTTTTCATTATTCATTTGAATAAAGGCACTTACTTGGGTTTTTCCATTTTTTTTCCCTAGTTTGGGGAATGAAGTCAGAAGATGAATTGGAATAACTTCATTCAAAGAATAATCTTCTTTTTGCTTAATGTCCCTGGCATTATGGGGAACATTCTTATATTTGTAAGATATGTATATGTTTTTGTCACAGGTCCTGACAAAAAATCCATAGACCTTATCCTCATCCACTTGATGTTTTCAAATGCAATCATTATCTGTAGCTCAGGTCTCAGAGATATAGCCACTGTTTTTTATTTCAGAAATTTTGTGGATAATATTGGTTGTAAACTTTTGATTTATCTGGGAAGAGTGGCTCGGGGGCTTTCCATCTGCACCACCTGTCTCCTCAGTGTGGTCCAGGCCATCACCATCAGTCCCAGGACCACCCTGTGGAGAAAACTCAAACCACAGACTGCATGGCAAGTTCTTCCCTATCTCCTCCTCTTTTGGATCTCTAATTCTCTGATAAGCTCAAACCTGATACACTACATCACAGCAGTCAATAACATGAATGGATCTGGGTTTGGAATGTACATTGGATATTGTTATATGCTACCATCTAGACAAGAGATTAGATGGCTTTTCCTCTCCCTCATGACTCTCCGGGATGTGATCTTTCAGAGTCTCATGGGCTGGAGCAGTGGGTACATGGCTTTCTATCTGTATAAACATCACAAGAGAGTCCTTTATCTTCATAGCTCCAGGTTTACAAACAATTCCAGCCCAGAAATCAGAGCCACTCTAAGTACTCTTGTTCTCATGACCTGTTTCCTTGTCTTTTATTGGGCAGATTTCATGTTCTCCTTATATACAGGTTCTACCTTGAGAAGTGATTTCCTAACACAAAACATTAAAACATTTCTAGAACTTGGATATGCTGTTCTCAGCCCCTTGGTCCTGATCAGTCGGGATGTCCATATTACTAAATCCCGGAGGGCTCACTGAGAAGTACTATACACCGTTTTGTAGGGCACAGACACCAATGGAGCATCATGCCCTTTTTACAATGTCCTTTGCTTTCTCCTGCCACAAAAGGGCTTTGCGTTTCTTTCTGAGCTAATTCCACCAGCAATCAGCACAGAACAGCCATCCAGGTGAGTTGAAAAATGCCAGGAAATGTGCATCAGCTGGTGTATATAGAACTCACTGAGAAATCAGGTTATACCCATTCCTCCATAAACTATGTGCATACATATATATACTCATATATGTATATGCATATACTATATATGTATATATATACAGTATATGGAATTGCTATATGGAATTGCTATATGGAATTGCTTTATGCTAATGTTCTAGTGTAGTTGAATGTTAATCAAGGCTTATAATAATAGGTTTACTTTTTTTAAAATGGAGTCTGGGACTAGGCTACCTAAAATTTTTTCCAACTTCCAGGAAATTGGACAGGATTCTTGCCACCCTCATTTCATCATAACTATCTTGTGGTTTTTAGCTTTCAGGCTTCACTGGGAAAAATACTGGAGGCAAAGGTGTTTCCGGATATGAGTTTTATTTTCCCCCAAAGCCAGAGCAAAAGAGAGAAATGGGGATACTCCCTGAGGTAGGCTTGCAGGGCAGAGTGGAGATAACAATGGGAGCTTACCCTGCAGCACAACGGATCCATCTAGGCAATCGTGTGGCTTTGGGTTACAAAAGCGCTTAATGAAACTAATAATAAATGCTTTTGGATAATTTTAAACCTGTTAAGGGCCTTGTCAGAAAGTTTCTCCCTTCAAATGAGGCTAGATCGGAATTGAAAATGATGCTCCAGGTGAGGCTCGAACTCACAACCTCGGCATGGCCCGCTCACATACTGTTATATAAGTACCGCGCGCTAACCGATTGCGCCACTGGAGCACCCTGGCTGCACTTCCGGTCATTCTGTACACAGGCACTGTCGGCGTCTTGGCTTACGTCACAATGGTCCTGCATTCCCCCGCCCGGCACCGGGGGAACCCGGGACGCCCGCGGTGCGCGGCCTGCGTTCAGCTGCGGAGTCACCCGGCGCTCTGGCCCTGCCGGCGTGGAGCGGGCTCCGGCTGCAAGGCCGCCGGGAAAAGAAAAAAGTGCGGTTGCTAAGGAAGCCACCGCCACCCCCGGGGTCCCCCGAAGACACAGAGTAACCACCTTTCGGTGGCTGAGGCGCGGGTCCCCGCATCCTGCCCCGCAGCCTAGATGGCTGGTCGGTGCCGAGAGCTGGTGGAAGTGGCTCTGGAAGAAACGCGAAGCCCGTGTGTGGCGGGCGACTTCAGAGGACATTGTTGTCGAAAGGACATGGGCTGCGCTGTCTTCTGGGCCCTACAAAATGGAGTGTAGGCTGGGGGCGTTCCTCGGGAGACCCTCCCTGGATCTGGGGAGTTCCTAGTAAGGGATTGGAACTGCAACCCGGGTTTGCTGGGTCTTCGCGATTCTAGACCCACTACGTGAAATTAAGCTAGATTAAAAAAAAAAAAAGTCTGGGTTAAAACCCCTGTGTGGCAGTGTTTTGAGGTGTGAGAGGGAGGGAGGGCATGGGGGAAGGGCACCCCAGTATGGATATATGAATATGGAGTATATATTTACCAGGCGAAATGACCCCTAAGGCAAGCCAATTAATGTAACCATCTCCCCACCTAGCTATAATCTTGTGAGTGTGGTGAGAACACCTAAAATCTCTCTTAGCTAACTTTCAGTATTAAGTATAGTCATCGGATGCTGAGCAGTCGTTAGCTTATTCATTCTGTGAAACCAATTTACATTCTACGAAACCAATTTATTATTTTTATTATCTTTAAGTAGTACAGAGGGGCTTCTATCCAACATGTCAGTCTGTGAGTGCAATGCATCTATCATCCGTTGACCAACACCTCATCATTTACCCACATCCTTACACCTGGTACACACAGATCTCCTCTCTGCATTTATGCATTCAACTTTTTAAGGATCAACAGAAAGACCTTATGAAGTTGCTTTTTCTTTCCCACCTGGTTCGTTCCACTTAGCATAATAGCACTACCTTTGGCAAAACCTCCATTTCTAAGAATAAATAACGTTTCATTATATATTTGCTTTATTCATCAGTTAATAAGGCTTGCTCTGTGTCTTGGCTATTATGAATAATGTTTCAATGAATATAGAAGTGTAGGTATCACAGATTCTATTTCCTTTGAAAATATAAAATCCTTTATTTCCTCTTATCCTTCATGAAGCAGCGTCACCAGATCCTATAGCAATTCTACTTTTAACTCTAGGAATTTTTATATTGTTTCTTATAACCGTTGCACTGGCTTGCATTTCATCCCAACAGTGTACAAGAATTTCTTTTTCTCCACATCCTCTCTAGCACTTACCTTCTGTTTTGAAATAATAGTTAAGTGTAGCGATCTCCTTGTAGTTTTGATTCCCATATCTGTTGGAGACCCGAAACCTGCCTGAGAATGCTCTGGCCTCTTTCAAACACCTAATTAACAAGTAGCCGTTCTCAGAAATTCCCAGGTGCACATTTAGATAACTTCCATAACAAACTACATCTGGCTAACCTTAAAACTTATCTCCAGCCCTAAGCAAACGGCGCCTGGCTAACCATAAAAGAAATCACAGGAGATACCTTTAAGGGCCAAAAGGATAAGCATGACCCATCCCTGACCCCGGGACTTCTCACCCTTGCTTCTGCAAAGTTTTTTTTTATTTTCTTTCCCTTCCCCTGTCCCTTCGGGTATATAAACCCTGCCTCACTTTAATAAAGCAGACCTTGACGCGACTCAGAACGGCTCTGTCTTTCTTAATGCGCTTGGTCTCGATCCTCTCTCGCCCCCCTTGGTTCTTTCAGGAGGTGCCCCCTCAGATCCCCCACAAAATTACCTGGCCTGCTGGACGGGTCACATATCTCTGGTGATTAGTGATGAACACTTTTTCATACACCTCCACTCCTTCTTTCTAGAGGTGCTTTACCACTTAAGCCATGTTCCTAGCCTTTTTTGCTTTGGCTATTTTTCTCAATAGGACCTTTTCCCCAGGGTATTTTTGCCCAGGGTGGCCTACTATTACCACCCATGCAGCTGGAATCGTATTGATGCATCTCATCTGGCTTTTTGGTTGAAGTGGGAATCCTGACTTTTTTTTTTTTTTGCCAGAACCTTACCGGAGTTGAAATTCTCCGTGCCTCACATCTCCACATCCTCAGCAGCTGAGATTATAGGCATAAGCCACTGCTTCCAACTCTCTTTCTAAAAATGTCTATTCATACTCTATTTTAAAAATCATATTATTTGATTTCTTCGGTTCTGAGTTGTGCATGTGTCATGTATTTTGGATATTATTCTTTATAAAATACAGTTTACAAGTTGGGTGTTGGTGGCTCACGCCTGTAATCCTAGCTACTCAGGAGGCTGAGTTCTGAGGATCGCGATTCAAAGCCAGCCAGAGCAGAAAAACCCGTGACACTCTCATCTCCAATAAACCACCAGAAAACCGGACGTGGCGCTGTGGCTCTAGCGGTAGAGCGCTCACCTTGAGCTAATGAGCATAGGGACAGCGTTCCGGCGACCGACAAAAGTAAAATGCAGTTTGCAGATGTTTACTTCCATTTTGTCTTATGTCATTTATTGGTCCCTCCCCCACCCCCGGCTTGGGCAGAAGCTTTATAGTTTGATCCTTTTATATGTTTTTGTATTACCTGAGTTTTTAGTGTCCTGTCCAAAATTTACACAGTTTCAAGGACATTTCTCCTATTTTTTTTCTTATTCTCAAGGTTTTAGTTTCAAGTCTTTCAGTATTTTATGCATTTTGAGTTGCTTTTTCTGCATGGCATAAGGGCCCAATGTCATTCTTTTGCATATAAATACCATTTCCCAATCCCATTTGTTGAAGACCATATCCTTTCCCTGTGTGTTTTTTTTAGGTTTGCTTGTAAAAATAATTCGACTGTGTATGCATGAATTTACTTCTAGACTGTCAAGAAAAGCATGATATATATATATATGTGTGTGAGAGAGAGGGGTAAGGATTATATTTAATTCACTTGGTACAAATATTAAACATTTCACAAATACATTACTAATGTAAAAATATATTAAGCGTATTTTTTTTAGAATAGGTATGTGTTGAATACATCTCAAATTCAGAAAACTACCCTTTACAGCTGGTTTCCGTAGTGTAGTGGTTATCACGCTCGCCTAACACGCGAGAGGTCCTCGGTTCGAAACCGAGCGGAAACAAGATTTATTTTTCCCACTCCCCAGCTTAGTTTTGGGCTTCATCAGAATGAACTGGGAGTTGACCTCCCGGATTGGCCACGCCCACTGTTTTCTCATAGGCTAGCACAGCTCTTTGGATCCAATTATAATCCAGCTTCTTCCAAGAGCAAGATTAGTGTTGCCAGTTTCCCTTACTGGGCCTGCGCTCTTCACCCAGGAAATCTGTAAAGTGAAATTTGGCGAAACTGTTTCCAATGTCTTTTATTTGTCTAATTATCTTTTCTTAGATAATTTCTCAGTTATTTTTGCATAGATAATTTTTGTCGTGGGCTGTTTTTTAGTAAATGCATCCTTAGTGGAGTGTATTTAATGGCCTTCATTTACTGTGTAAAGATTGCTGGAAATAGCAGATAATGAAACTGGCTCAGCACATGGAGATTTTGGTGGAGAATTAGCTCACATGGAAGAGTCTAGTTAGCTTCTGAGAAGTAGTGGGATCAATACCCACATTGTCCAGAGTTTACTATTGGGACATACCATTCTACTGGACAACCTCAGATTTTCTGATCTCTCAGGGGAAAGAAAAAAAATTTCAGACATCTTTATTAAAGATCTATGAGAACAAGAAGACAAGGCTGATAATGAACCCAGAAAGCCAGGAAAACAAAATGTAAAAATAGAGATTATAAGGGACTAGGAAATAAAAATGGGGAATTATTATTTAGTAAGCACATACTTTCTGTAGGATAATGAGAAAGCTCTGGAAATAAGAGCTACTCAATATTATGAAGTTTCTTACTGAATTGAACGCTTAACTTTTATGTTCTTATACTTCTATCACAATGAAAAATTATAAACTTTTGTTCTTCCTTTAACCTTGCCCATATCCCTAGCAGTTTTTCTCCATTCCAGCTTCCTTTCTTTTTTTTTTTTTTGGGGGGGGGGTCCGGTCATGGGGCCTGAACTCTGGGCCTGGGCACTGTCCCTCAGCTCTTCAGCTCAAGCCACTTGAGCCACAGCGCCACTTCCGGCTTTTTTCTTTTTTGCTTATGTGGTGCTGAGAAATCGAACCCAGAGCCTCAGGAATGCAAGGCAAGCGCTCTACCACTGAGCCACCTTCCCAGCCCCTACACTAAATATTTATAAATTTTAGATACTTCCTTCACAGATTTTCTGGAATCTTTCATCTTCTCCATTCTCCATCTCTTTATCCATTCTACTGTTTGGGATGATGGATTCTGCACCAAACACTGAAGTGGGAAGTGGCCAAAAGACTTCACTGTTCAATGACAGACTTAACAAAAGCAATATGAACCAACCTCCATCCTTAAATATATTTAGAATTTCACTACCTTTCTCCCTAGTTTCAGATTCTCATCTCCAAGCTCTGCAAAATTCAAAACTAAAAATCGTGTCCTAAAATATTGCTTTAATTAGTTAGGCCATCTGTTCAGATTCCACTCCCCCCCCAAAAAAAGTCTTCAGCTTTTTATATACACACACACACACACACACACACACACACACACAAAACCACTCTAACTGAAGAGATATATTTTTTCACACAAAGACTTCTTCCTGAATTTTGTTCACTCCTCATGTGCAACCTTCATTTTGCTATTATCTTGCCCCCATTTTTTACAGCCTTTATCTGTAATTTGTTTTTGCTGTTCCCTCGTTAATTCTGTATGAGTAACTTCTACATGACATGACTTAGCAAGAAGCGGATACCTAGCTTGTATAGAAGGGAATAACAAAAATAGGCATGGTGGTTTCTTAGTATAGTGGTTATGCTTGCCTTGCACATGAGAGGTGTTTGGTTTCAAACCAAGTGGAAACAGGTGGGCTTGGTCTTTTGTCTCTTCCTTTTCCTTTTTTCCAGAATTCAGGAGAAATCACACACACACACACACACACACACACACACACACACACACACACACACAGCTCTCACCAGTCCAGTCTCCTTCTAGGGCTCTAGAAACCAGTGATAGTCCCACACCACCCCCTCCTGTTTTTCTTTTTTTTTAATTTAATTTTATTTTATTCGTGAACATACTGTAAAGAGGGGTTACAATTACATGGGCAGGATAATGCGTACATTTCTTACCAAGCATTGCAGCCTCCTCCTTTGGTTTACCCTTCACATCCCTTCCCAGCCTCCCCCCTCCCCCTCCCCCAATCCCAATCCTTCTTCCCTCCTGTTTTTCTAAAGAAGCATTTAATCCTACCAGAATCTCTCTTCCCCTTTAGCCCAACCTTCTGGTAGATTTTTTTTAGCTGGAGCATGCTTTCTTCAGATCTGGAATATAAGTCTTGAGATCATGGCTACTCCAAAGTTTTCCTGCTGTGACTTTTTCCTTTTACCTTCTCCCTCCTCTCTCCTATCTCCGACCTCATCTCTCCTCTGTATTCTCTCCTCTCCCCTCCTCTCTTCTCTCCTCTCCTCTCCTTTCCTTTCCTAATGCACAGCGTCACCACCATGCTCTGGTCCTGGGTCATATTATTGAGGAAGATTTGCCCTCGATCCAGCCAGTACCTTTGAAATCCTCTGTTCTGGACACTCAGAAGAAGGGAAAAGCAGAATGTTCAATGGGGAATTAGCTCAAGTGGTAGAGCGCTCGCTTAGCATGCGAGAGGTAGTGGGATCGATGCCCACATTCTCCAGGTTTTACCATTTAGACTTCAATTCTCCAAATGACAGCAAGTTTTCTAATATCTTATAATGCAATGGCAATTTAGATGCTTTTCTGCTTTATGATGTGCAGATGCAACACAGGTCTGGTGATGGACCTGATGATATATGGTTTGTAGATCTATCAATGTGTTTTCTAGATCTTTGGCACCATTAATGTGTTTCTGCTTTTTCAAGAAGTGATCACAAAACAAAGAGAAATAATTTTCCAAACTCAATAGTCAACAGGTATAGTCTGTAGGAAGTGACATATACCAGTGTTTCTGCTTTTTAATTTCCTTTAAAATTGCTCTTCAACTGAGGCAACAATTGTATTTTCACTTTAAGTTCCCTCACAGCTGCAGTCATGAGTTACCCTGTTGTTATCTTTGGAAACAGGATAATCAATCTTCCAGAAATGGGGGCTCTGGTAGAAGACAAGAAAGGATGTTCACCTTCTGAGCACAGACCTGTTAAGGATAGATTGAGACTGCCTCAGAGACACCAACCTTTGTTACTGGTAAGAAGCAGATAAGGAGTTGCAGGCTGCAATAGCTGTGCTAGTTCTAATTTATTTTGCTTTTGCTTTGTTCTTTCTCCATCTTCCTTTAACGTCTTTACATTAGACTGATAATTGACTTTTTTTTTCAAATGACTAACCAGATTTTGCTATTTTATAGGTAACTCATCTGTTTGTTTTTCTTGTGTCTTTTATTCTTATGTTGATTGCATTGACTTTTTTCAGTGCTTTGCAAATAAAGACATAATTTTAGAGATCAGTTTTTGCAAAATCCTAAAAAGCATGCTATTTATAGGTACTCATTTTCATTATCTTCTAAGAAAACAAAATGTGCTTTTGTTTTTTTTTTCCTAAAGTCCATTTGTGTCCATTATTTCAATAATACCTTTAAATTTTACTTAATTGTATTGATCTTATGTATTAACATTTTATATATGTGTGTATGCACAATTGATCCCATATGCCAGTGTCATTAATGGCTACCATATTGAAGAGTACATACAACCCCATACAGTTTATTTCTCCTGGCGTCAACTACAGCTGCTGTCTGTACTCTGAAAGGCCATCTCACCAGTGTTCCAGTCTTCTTCCTGCCTCCCTTAGTGATATCTGCACTTGCAGATTGCATGAGTATTTCAGAACAGAATATCATAATAACCCAGAACTTTATCTCTTCAAACTTGCTTTAGTAGAAAAAAAATTTACTTCTGCCAAAAGGCACCATCATGGATACAATTACCCAAGCCAGAGATGTATTTAAATTAAGAAATGCATATTTCAATTACTGTATCTGTAACCCTGTCTTATTTAGACATGTTGGAAAGCTATTCATTCAACTGCTATTTAGTGGCAACCTACAATTCTAGCAGAGCATAGTTATGCATGGTAAAAAAGATTTATTGACAAATGTCAGAGGACAAAGATCCAGATTAGTTAAAAGGGGACAACATAATATAGATTAGAATATATCATAACTTCAGCATGAGGCTCTTCTGAGTGCAAGATTTCAAAAGGAATACATTGTCTTCTTTGGAAATATCTCTGAGGACTACTGAGCCAGAGCCAAGAAAACTAGATATCCAGAAAAAATAACCTGGTTAGAGAAAGAAATTAGATGATTCTTGTAAATTCTGTTCAGGCCCTATG